TTTTTTTTTTTTTTTTTGTAAGGGGAAAAATGAAAATGGAAAAATCAGAGCTTAAAATAAAACTCAAGATTTGTACTTTATTATGTTGTGTAATTTTCTTTTACTTCGAATTGATATTATAAAACTGGTATTGAAAAAAGTATCGTTCAGGAACCTGTATCGAAGTGAAGGTATCTGTGTTGGTACCGGCACCGAAAATTTTTGAACAATACCCAGCCCTATGCACCTCTAGTTTTTTTTCTTTAGGATACAAGAAGTTCATAAAGACTCTGACGTATCTTTAATTTAAGGATTTGTAAAATTGCTTGACTATTTTTTATGCAGTGTAAATGTCCATAAGCCTGATATATCAGTGACAATTCTTATTGATTCACAACTTCTTCATAGGCTAAGCCCATTAGTGTGTTATCAGCTTCTGTGGGAATACAAACTGTTTTTTTTTCATACTAGGACACCTTTGGAATAAAAATCGCTGAGCTGTTATACAACAATAGCTCTGTTTGCTGTTTACATCCACTCAGCATTTAGGAGTTTGATTGTTTTTGTGTCTCTGTGAATTCAAATTTTAGCTCCTACTTTGAGGCCAGGTCATCAGGCTTGAGCCCACCGGCATGGCCATCTGAGTCACTGAGTGCGCCCTCATCCTCCTCATCACCAACCATCCTGTAAACAGACAAACAAAAGGGGGACAGGGACAACCAGAGGTCATCAGGACAGATGGACAAAGGAAGACAAGTTACAAATATAAAAGAAGAGTTTCCAACTGCAAAAATCTATTTGACAAGAATTCAACTGAATTTATGAAGATAATCTGATTCGGTTCAATTCAGTTGCTGGATTTTATGGAAGCCGACTGCAAAATTACACATCCTGAGTTTAATCCGATGCTAATAGCTGAGCGGCTCACTTAGCATGTATTCACACAGCGCTTCACTTTCTGCTTTATGTTTCGTTGCCTAATCCACATTAGATTTTCTCCTTTTTTCAGAAAAATAAAAGGTTTAAAAAAACAACAACCTATAATTACTTTTATCAAAGCTAGAAACAAAGGAAAACATCATGTATGCAAGTATTGACCGCCTTTTTCCAACAGTGAGCTGAAGGAGCTTTTGTAGCAGTGCACCTGTTTCTAAGCAGTCTCTACAGATCTGACTGGACCTCCTAACAGAGCCACACATTTGTTATCTTGACTGCGTGGTTTGGGTAGTTTTACTTTTTCCAAGATGAAGCTGTGCTCCAGATCATATTCGTCTAGTTTAGCTTCTCTCCATTGGCTTCCTGTTAAACCCAGAATAGAATTTAAAATCCTCTTTCTCACATATAAAGCCCTAAATAACCAAGCACCATCTTATGTCAGAGATCCGATTTTGCCTTGTGTTCCTAACAGAGCACTTTGCTCTCAATCTGCAGGTTTACTGGTGGTTCCTAGAATTTCTTCAAGCAGAATGCTCTTTTAGTTATCAGACACCCTGTCTACCTTAATAAAGCTTATAGAGTGCCTCAGGTTATGCTGCTATAGACTTAGGCTGCTGGAGGACATTGGGACCACTTAACATCATTCTATCTTTATTTTCTCTCCACTGCTGATGCATGTGGTGTGACGGATTACTGCAAACTCAACAGCACAATGCAAGCTAAGGTCTACTGTCGCCTCATGCTAATCCTGCACAGTGAATAACATCGTGCAATCAGCTGGTTGACATGAACATCCGCTATATAAATTAACTAAATTGAATGAAATCCAGTTTAAGGTATCGAGAGCTCTGGAGCTATTTATCCTTATGTGGTTACAGCCTTCTTCCTTTCAACTCTGCTCTCAGTTGCTGCAGTAAAAAGCCTGATCAGTAAAGTGCTGATTGTCCCTCTGGAAGTTTTCCTTCACCCCATAAAGCAACAGGGGAGCTCAAGTGGCGTTTCCACCACAGAAAGAATTGTAGGATCTCCATTTCTGGGTTCTTAAACTTTACATAGACAGGGTGTGCCTTTATACTGTGAATCAGGAAAAAACATTTTCTTTTCTTTTGGCCCATTATGAGGTTTCTATGTGTGTAGAATTATTCAAATGTGGAAAATATCCCAGATACGCTGCATTTATACTATCCCCTCCACTTCAATATATTCTTCAAAAATCACCAAAAGAGGAGATATAAAAAAGTGAAATATGTAATTAATGTTAACAAAAAAAAAATGTTTTAAAACTTGTTTAAATCAGGTGAATATTTTCTGTATTTCATCTGAGCCCTTTAACCTGTTATAAGGTGTGCTGGGTTCATCGATCTTCATCAGGCCGTAGTCTTTGTCCGGAGGATGGTATGTCGCCAGGATATTCATCTCATCCCATTTGGCAGATTTCTTTCTGTAAAGAGATTAAAGAAGAGGAAACAGAGGATGACATCGATACACAGAAACCTAAGGGACGAGAAAGTCCTGATGTAATCTAGAGCAGAACGCGGCCCAGTTTTGAATCAAACTGCACACATTTAGGAACACATGGATAAAAGCCCAGATATGTCACTAGCACAACAATTATTCAACAATCTTTATTTTTCTTCCTTTATCAAATGTGAGACTTTTTTTTATTTACACTGTTGCTATAGTATTTTAAGTTGGACATTTTTCTGTTTTTGTTTTTTAACACAAATATAAATTCAAAAGCAAGTGGCAATGAATTTTTTTATGGGTCAGGAAAACATCTCAGCTAGCACAATTCCCTTCAAATCATTCAAGGAAAAAGGTTGAAAACTTAATGAGAAACAGGAAAGCGATGGGGGACGGGAGAAGGATGCTAAATCTTCCACCGCCTGCTGCCAGGAAGCCTTGAATAAACCTCCTCTCAGCATCAGAGCTGATCCGTTCAGAGTAAATAGAGTTAACATGCTGCAAACTGATGCTCAAGAAGGAGCTTCAACAAAGAATGTTTTCCTCATTACGTTTCACATTTCAGCTTAATGAGCAGCTCGGTTTTGTCACTACATGCTCAACAGCTTAGCGCAAGAGCCACAAAACATCTGGTTAGACAAAAAAAAAAAAAAAGATGCATCAGCAAATCAACCAGAGGAAAACGCGTTTGTTTCTGTGAACACTGCAAGAAAATGTAGTTGTTTTATTTCAAAGTTATCAAAAATCAAACACGTTAAGTTTGAATTGTTGAGTGTTAACCTGTCAAACCCCTCCTATAATGAGAATCTGTTGGAAAAAGTCCATCCTGGTCTCGATTCCATTACTATAAGGAAGAAGGAAAAACATCAGAAACGATGATTTTTCCGTTTTAAAGCGTTTACAAATAATAACTCAGAATGCATCAACATTACACTGGTAAAATATTTACCAATATAGACACGTTACACATAGTTGGAAAGCTTAGATTCTCCTCAATTCAACCACAAAGTTAATTTCATGGACACATCGAGCACACAAGCACAATTTACACAGATATAGCAGCATGTGAGAAATGTACCATGACAAAGCAGCATGTCTTCATTACTGCTGTTCAAAAAAGACCTATTATTTTCTAGCATAAAAAAACAATAACTTTGAGTCTTGTTTGAACTGATGCAGGTTGGGTGTTTTACTCACCCAATTTTCATGTATATATTCAGAAACTAGAGGGTGTTAGCTTTCAAATTAGGTATTGCACATATAATTTGGGTTTACAGTTCCTAAGTTATTTGCTTTTCCATTTGGGTATGCAAAATAGGCGAGAATTTCCCAAAATGAGGTGGATGTTAAGAGGTTAAAGAACTTAAATGACAGTTTGATGCAATCATAAACCAATTAGTCTTTAGATCAATTTGCAAATTTCAGTCAAATTTAGATCTCTAAATTAAATGGTGGGGGCGTAAAAAATGTTTTATTGACATATATTCCTCTTCCAATTAGCATTTAAATGAATAAGAGTTATCCATCAGAACAACTGAAAGATAATGAAGGAGCACCTGCATCTGCCAAATAAAAAAAAAATATACACCAACTCCTTGACGGCACTAAAAATAGACCTCGCTCTCTTACGCAGTGAGGTCTACCTCTCCAGGGCGGCCAACAGCTGGCGACATCACACCACAGGGAAACTCATTAAACAGAGTGAGTCCGCTCTGAGAGCTGAGCTGCACTATCAGGTAGCTCCGTCAACGTACGGCGAGGAAAGGTCGAGCCCTGAGTCTCCGCACAAAAACACAGCACGCGCCGTTTGCTTTGAGAGGCGCAAAAATCCGCTCCTTCCAAATACAGCATGCAGCCAGGAGACAATTGGTGTCAGCAAGAGCCGGAGGGAAAAGCTCATCAATTTCACATCGGAGCCTCGGATCTCACAGCGAGGCGCAGATCTCATCAAATATGAACAGTTTCCTGGTGTGCTGTAAATATTTAAAGAAGCCAAATCTTCTGACAGACTGGCAATTAAGTCTAGAAAATAATAAAGTCTAGATTTTAATTATGTTTGACAGTAGACACGTACATATGTTTAAGGTATGCGTGGCTTTTTGAAGGAGTAGGTCTAAGAAACATTTTTTTAAAGTCTATATTAAAGTCTCCTTTTTAGAAACATTCTGCTCCAGTTTTCTTTCTCAGCCAATGTTGTTCCCAATGTTGGATAACTTTTTCAAAGTAAGCTGTAACCTTAAACTTTTCTCAGATTATGAAAATCAGAATCACTGTCAGTGCAAAAGCTCACCACAGAGAAAGGAGAGATTCAGGTTTCATGGAGCCAACCATTAAATATGCATTACTACGTGTGAGTCCTACAGTTCACCATTAACTACCTGAATAAGAGCAGATACCAGGAGAGCTGACATGGGTAATCCACAGAACACAGAAAAAGCCCGACTTTGGCCTGACCGGCTAAAGCAAGAACATTGCATCGATA